CGTCTTTGCTTTCCTATAATCAAAGCATTTTTGACTTGAAGGAACTATAGGTACCATCTCACCTGATCTGAGTTTTATTGACAAAGCAGCTATTGCCAAGAGCGGCACCCCAGCTTTCCAAGGTCTCACAGCTCACGGAGGCACAGCTAGAAGGAATATTCTTGTTTTCAAATTCGGAGCTCTATACCGCAGTGTAGTGCATAAAGCTTCAAGCTTATAGGAAGGCTCTGCATTCAGACTCTTTCCGCTCTCCCCAAGCCCTTGCTCAAAGGGCTCCCCAAACCCAGGGTACATACCCAGGCACTCCACAAACAGACGGCTAGACTTCAAATGCTTGCCTTTCTACTTAGTAACTAATTTGGGGTAAATTATTTAACTTTTATGAACTCTAATTTGCTGCCTGTAAAACTGGTGTGATGATCATACCTCCTCCCCTGTGAAGATAAAGAAAGATAATAATGAATATAGGAACCCATTTAGCTTCATTATATTTTTCTCCTTGGTTCCAAGTCCTAGTCGTGACAGTCAAACCGCCTAAGCAGCTGAGGTCACATCTTTCCTACTCTTGTGAGAATAGGGAGTTTCGTGCCTCTCTTTCTTGGGAAGCATTGCCTCCGAGACAAGGACTCTGTGCTGTCTCCTTCCCCCAACTCCCGTGGACAGAGGAAGCACACAGGGCACTGCAGTGCGCTTTGACCCAGCTGACATGTTGGAGCCAGTACAGCCTGGCTGCACCTAAAACTTTAATGTAAATTGGCTGAGACTCCTCTGCAGGGGCCCAGATTTAGAAGCCAAGCAGGACAACTCTCCAGGCTGGTGACAGTCCAGGAGCAATGTTCCCATTGGAGAAAGTGGAGGGTGGAGCAGAAGGGAGAATTTCTTGGTCTGGCCTGGTGGCACCGTTTTATTAATGATCTGGAAGAGCGGAGGAACAGTGACTTTAATTAAATTTGCCAGTGATATTAAAAGATGTCAGGAGCCACTGCTGAGGACAAAGAAACCTTGCTGATGGCCCCAGGGGTGTTAGGAAAATAATCCAGGAAAGAGACAAGAGGTCATGGGCTGAGCCAGGGTGTGTTTAGCTGAGGGAGAGGAATGTGACATGGGGCAAGAGGGTCCTCCTTTGCAGAACCTATCCTAGGCCCTTCCTATCTGTATCTGTTCTGTTTGCAGTCAATTTCTAGCTGATCTTCCTGCTCCAGTCCTGTCCTCCTTACAGTCATGCTAAGCCTTTACTGAAATTGGTTTTGCTGAAACACAAATCAGACCATGTTATTCTCCTGTTCAAAATCTCACCATTGGCTTTTCACTGTCCTTAGGATAAAATCCCATCTTCTGAGCCTGGCTTAGAAGGCGTTCCATGAATTCTTACCTACCACCCAGCCCCATCTTCTGGCCGTATGCCTCACTCTGAATTCCTTGTAATCCCATGCATAAGGAGGCTTTTTCATGTCTCCGTGTCTTTGCTTGAGCTGATCTCTTTGATTTGAATGCCCTTCCCACTTTCCTCTCTCTCTCTCTCTCTCTCTCTCTCTCTCTCTCTCTCTTTTGACTAGAGTTCACTCATGCTTGAAGACTCATTTCAGGGATCACCTCCTTCAGAACGCTTCTCTGAATCCCTAAACTGGCTCAGTGCCCTCCTCACGTTCCCACAGCATGCTGCCCTCACCTCCACTTTTTACAGTAAAACTACCTATTTTTGCATCTCCCCATCCCTTCTTGATTGTACCCTTGTGGGCAAACACTGTCTCATTTTTTATTTTACCCAGCCTTGTACACAGCCTGACAAATGACAGGCTTTGGTCAATATCTGTCAAACCAAGCCGATGAGAAGAATATTCTAGTGGGAGATGACAACAGGGAGCTGGAACAGCCCTGGAAAGCCCAGGGCCTGTGCAACCTTGGCAAATGGCAAGTCTGTCCTGTCTGGGGCATGAGAGGGTCACAGTGCTTCTCCACCAGACCTAAGCTTTCTGGGACCCAAGGGTGACACAGCAGGGAACTTAGGTAAGGCTGAATGGCCAAAGCCAGACATAGGTCATCTGTGTGTGAGTTGGGGTTCTGCTATTTCCTTGACTTATATTTGACGAGATGATGTCAGAGTCATTTTCTAAAAAATGTAAAATAAGAATAGAAATACTACCAATCTCACAGGGTTGTTATGAAAATTAAAATTAACATTATGCTTATAGTCAACACATACCATGTTTACAACAGTACAATTTATAACAGCTAAATCTGGGAAGTGGCCTAAATGTCCATCAGCAGATGAAAGGATAAAAAAAATGTGGTATTGGCACACAATGGAGCAGACTCTTCCATAAAGGATAAATTCGAGTCATTTGTAGGAAAATGAATGCACAAGAATGTTAAGTGAAATCAATCAGACAACAAGCTTAAATATATATCACATGGTTTCTCTTATATGAGAAAACTCCAGTATAAATAATTTAAAGAGAAAAATATAAGCTAGATAATAGGAAACGGGGAAATGGACGTTTTCCTGATGGGAAAAGGACTAAGATATGGAGGCAGAGGGTAGAGCAGGGAGGGAAAGGGGAACTCAAGAGAATTAAGATGTGTTATGTACATGTATCAACTCCTCATGATAAATAAAAAAACAAACCACAAAGAAACTACATAAACATTATAAATGTTAATTGCCATGGTTAATATCCTTATTATCTGGGGTGGTCCTGGGGAAGTCTCACACTGAGTCACATACCTAAGTCTGAAGAGACTGCACCAAGGGTGAGATCTGTCTCAGTTGGTGTCTGGGGCTGGAAAAATAGCACAAAAAGCAGATGAACTCAGGTGCATTCAGGGTGGTATGGCTAATGGACAGATGGCACAAAAAATGACCATTGGCTTGGTCATCAGAGTTAGACCCTCTCCCTCTTACATCTTAGCCAGAAACCATTTCCGTTAGGAATCACAGAGTGTCTTCCACCTTCCATTCCATTCCAAAACCATGCACAGGTATGTATTAGCTGTCTTACTTTCTTCTTTTTTCTTTCTTTCCCACCCCCACATTAGTTTTCTCAGGAAACTGGCCTTTGCTTTTGACCAAATGATAGCATATTCCCCCTAAAAACCTGTCACCACGAAGTATCCACAAGGCCAAGTGAGGACAAAGACCCCGACCTTTCTTAATCCTCTGGGTATGTGAGATAAACAGGAGTCTGCACCCTGTTAATCAGGATAACGACTATCGCGGTGCTCCACGTCCCTCCAGTCCCTCCACGGCCTCCCGCTTACCTGTGGGTAGCGCACAGCCCCTTGGGGCGGGTGCCTCCTTCCCCCATGTTAGCTCATGATTAAAGAGCTGCTCCAGCTGTGCCGTCTTCTGTCCCTTCCTTCCGGGTCTTATCAGAATCCGCAATGTGTCAGAACCCCCATGGTGGCAGGGTTTTCAGAGGTCAAGGCAAGAAGCCAAGATCCTTCCTCGCCCGTGTTTCTCCAGGGTGAATGTGTGGGAAATGCACTGAGGGGATCTGTGCACGTCACATTGCGAGAGCTCTCTCAGCCTTTGGATATGGATGCTTACATCTCCCACCACCCTGTTCTTCCCCAGTCTTTTTCAAGCCCTCTTCTCCTCTGAGTGAGTTAAAGGCAGAGGCCTCAAGCATCTGTTTTGCCGACTGCCAGAATCTGAACTAGTGAGGAATATGAATCTCAGCACTTGGATGCCATTCGGGGGAATCTGAAACTAAGTTGATCCACAGCTTTTTGGAAGGAATGCCTTGATGGTTACAGGATACAGCCTGACTCATGAGGACAAGCTTTGGGAATTTAAAGACGTCCTACATAAACTGTGATATCTAGTTGAGATTTCTCAATGAGACCTCTATCTATTTCCAGAGCAAATGGCTACAACTTAGATTATAAGTGGTTTTAGATAGGACTGAAGTCTCAAGAAACTTCCTTTGTAGTTACATTTGCTCATTCCAAAAACATACATCTATTAAGCCCCTACTGCTTGCTTAGTGTACCACTGTAAACAGCGAGACACACTCCTTGCTCTTGGGTCACTCATAGTGCAATGGATGTATAATATGACTCATCTAATATTACAAGTAAATGCGTATTTTTAAAGTTTTTAAAATGCCACAGAGGAAAACTAAAGTACAATAAAAGATGTAACAAAAGAGAGTTGACACATTTTAGGAGTGAGTATAAGTGTGTTGTTTTATTGTTGTTTTGTTTTGTTTTTGAGGAAGTGACATCTAAGTCCGGGTCTACAGCATTATTGTGAATGGGGTGTACCAAGACGAAATACTCATGTCAATTATGCATAACAGCACATGTAATGGTCCTGAGGTGGATGGTAATTTGGGGGCAGAACCAAAGGGCATTATTGCTGAAGTAGAGAGAGAGAGAGAGAGAGAGAGAGAGAGAGAGAGAGAGAGAGAGAGAGAGAGAAAGAGATGGAGAATTAAGCATGAAGAGAAGGAAGGAGGCAATTCATGGAAACTTTGAATGACATGGTAGGGAATATGATTTTTATATCAAGAGCAAAACTACTAAAGACCTTCAGAGAGGGGAGTGATATGCTTAAGTTTGATTTTTTTTTTTTTTTTAAGATCACTGTGGCTGTATGAGGAAAGCGGAATTGAGGCTCCACTCCCTTGAACTAGCTGAGGTGGTGAATTCAGTCAGGAGACCCCTGTAGCCACTTCCTCTGGGCTATGATGGTGGTGGGAGAGATGCAGAGAGAATTGACAGGATTTAGTGCTCGATTGGATGAGGGACAGGAGGGAGAGGAAAGAGTCTGAAGATTAACATCTGTTCTCTAGTGTGAGTGTTGGTCTACACGGAGGTGCTATTTTCAGAGATGGGAACAAGGAGCAAATATGGAGGATGGATTTTGTATCCCTTAAGGTGTGGTACCAATGCAAATCAGCACCTTTTTATTACTAGAGAAACCCACCTGGTTGCAACAAAGGAAAAAATGCATAGGTTTCTTTTTAAAGCTATCACATGGTCATTTTCATTTTCAGTCTACCTGAATGAGGCAAGAAACAGAAAGATTCCTCTTTCCACTCATTTGCTCCACTCGCAGTAGTTTCAGGTGAGTTTCTTCCTGTTCTTCTGAATTCACACTCACCTTTCAATGATTTGAGTTCAGCAGAGGAGCCTGCATTTCATCCCCCAAATCTCCAGGTTAAAACAAAAATTGAGAGATATCTGCATGTTTTATTAATAACAGTTTCTGTCACTTCATCCTTTGCATACTTGGCTTTCGAATTTAAATGACTAATTAATCTTGTACCTTCCTGTACGTGGCAGCATAACCTGGTCATAAGCATGTTGTACTGGACAGGAAGGAGCTGATGTGAATTGGGTCTTTGGCACACTTTCCATGGTCTCGGGTGGACCACAGTTCAGGTAGCAGACACTGCGAGTCGTCAACAAGAAATCTCATAATTGCAGCTTGCCTCCAAAAGCCTTGTATTTGGGGAAGCACTTCTTACTGAAGCTACTTCAGTTACACGCACAGAAAGGTATTCTATTTTGGGGGGCCAATCTGTGAAGCTTCAATTCAGTGTGTACTCTTCAAAGCTGTTATGCAAGATGGTTGAGTATATAATGACAACAGGGTAAGGAAGGCTGAAAACTCCAGAAATAGCATAAATGAGGAGAAAGACTAAGGTCATAAGCTTCCCATTTTTAAGTTGATTTCAGGTAACAGTGGGGCTGGCAGGTAGGATGAGAAGGGTATCACTTGGGTTTCCATCACCAATATTCCCATCTATTTCAAGCCACTCTTCCACTGAGTCTCCACCAGATGGTTGAGGACAGAGCAGCTATTTGTGCCTCTCATTGACATCTATTTTTCCAAGTGAGAGACTGGCCCATATGTTAGCGCAATATGTCACTCAGGGTGACACATCCATTTGTGTCGGTGGGAGCCTGCTACGTGCTGCCCCCTTTCCTCATGCCTTTTCCTGCCTCTGATCTTTTCTAGGTCTCTGGCCTGACAGGAGGACCATTGGTGCTGTGGAGGAAGCCAGCGTCTAAGTGTTGTGTATGGCGTGGTTAAGGTTGCAGCCTCTCACCTCTGCCTTCCTCCATTTTGGGCTGGTTACTTTTGTGCTCTTCCTGAATGGTCTTCGGGCAGAGGCTGGTGGCTCAAGAGATGTGCCCAGCACAGGGCAGAACAATGAGTCCTGCTCAGGGTCATCAGACTGCAAAGAGGGTGTCATCCTACCAATCTGGTATCCAGAGAACCCTTCCCTTGGGGACAAGATTGCCAGGGTCATTGTCTACTTTGTGGCCCTGATATACATGTTCCTTGGGGTGTCCATCATTGCTGACCGCTTCATGGCATCTATTGAAGTTATCACCTCCCAAGAGAGGGAGGTGACTATCAAAAAGCCCAATGGAGAGACCAGCACAACTACAATTCGAGTCTGGAATGAAACTGTCTCCAACCTGACCCTGATGGCCCTGGGTTCCTCTGCTCCTGAGATTCTCCTCTCCTTAATCGAGGTGTGTGGTCATGGGTTCATTGCTGGTGACCTGGGGCCTTCTACCATCGTAGGCAGTGCAGCCTTCAACATGTTCATCATCATTGGCCTCTGCATCTATGTGATCCCTGATGGAGAGACTCGCAAGATCAAACACTTACGGGTTTTCTTTGTCACTGCTGCTTGGAGTATCTTTGCCTACATCTGGCTCTATATGATCCTGGCAGTCTTCTCTCCTGGTGTGGTCCAGGTTTGGGAAGGCCTCCTCACTCTCTTCTTCTTTCCAGTGTGTGTCCTTTTGGCCTGGGTGGCAGATAAACGACTGCTCTTCTACAAATACATGCACAAAAAATACCGCACAGATAAGCACCGAGGAATTATCATAGAGACAGAGGGTGAGCACCCAAAGGGCATTGAGATGGATGGGAAAATGATGAATTCCCACTTCCTAGATGGAAATCTGGTGCCCCTGGAAGGAAAGGAGGTAGATGAGTCCCGCAGGGAGATGATCCGGATTCTCAAGGACCTGAAACAAAAGCACCCAGAGAAGGACTTAGATCAGCTGGTGGAGATGGCCAATTACTATGCTCTTTCCCACCAACAGAAGAGCCGCGCCTTCTACCGAATCCAGGCCACTCGCATGATGACTGGTGCAGGCAATATCCTGAAGAAACATGCAGCAGAACAAGCCAAGAAAACCTCCAGCATGAGTGAGGTACACACTGAAGAGCCTGAGGACTTCATCTCCAAGGTCTTCTTTGACCCATGTTCATACCAGTGCCTGGAGAACTGTGGGGCTGTACTCCTGACAGTGGTGAGGAAAGGGGGAGATATGTCCAAGACAATGTATGTGGACTACAAAACGGAGGATGGTTCTGCCAATGCAGGGGCTGATTATGAGTTCACGGAGGGTACTGTGGTCCTGAAACCAGGAGAGACCCAGAAGGAATTCTCCGTGGGGATCATTGATGATGACATTTTTGAGGAGGATGAACACTTCTTTGTGCGGCTAAGCAATGTCCGCATAGAAGAGGAGCAACCGGAGGAAGGAATGCCTCCAATACTCAACAATCTTCCCTTGCCTCGGGCTGTCCTGGTACCTCCGTGTTTGGCCACAGTGACTATCTTGGATGATGACCACGCAGGCATCTTCACTTTTGAATGTGATACCATTCGTGTCAGTGAAAGTATCGGCATTATGGAGGTCAAGGTTCTGCGGACATCAGGAGCCCGGGGCACAGTTATTGTCCCCTTTAGGACAATAGAAGGGACAGCCAAGGGTGGCGGAGAGGACTTCGAAGACACATACGGGGAGTTGGAATTCAAGAATGATGAAACAGTGTAAGTAACCATTCCATATTCTAGCCCTCCACACCTTGTTCCTTGCCGTCTTTTTCTGCCCTTCTGTACTACTCTATAAGCCTGTTCCTTGTGTTTGTGTTAACGTCAGACTTTGGTTCTGCCACAGGTATGCAGGATCAGCAGATACTGAACAGGCCCAGCTTCCATACTCCTTCAGTTGGCTCACTTTAAGTTTCTTCCAGACAAGGAATTCTGTGGCAAGATCTAAGGACACAGAACATTTTGTCCATCAAAGCTCAAAAGGATGGCTGGTAGAGGTATAGGATGACAGAAGTTTTGTGATATCAGATTTTGGAGAACTCTTGAGATTAAGCAAGAGCTAGGAAACTGGGTGGGCCGCTCCTTCCTCCCCCTTTCATACTAATAGCTTATGGGTTTTGAAGTCTGTCTTTATAATTGTAGGGTAGTAATAACCCAACCAGAATATCTGTATTAAGAGAGTCAGTGGCAAAGCCAGGCCTTGGTGGAGCACACCTATAATCCCAGGTGTAGAAAGCCAAGGCAGGAGGATCATCATGCGTTCAAGGCTAGTCTTGCCTACATAATGAGTTCAAGGCCAGTCTGTCTCAAAAGAGCCAAAACTGAATGAGTGAATGAATGAATGAATGAATGCAAGCAAGTGACATTGATCCCTCCATTGCAGTTGTATTGCACAGCCAGACTTTGGGCATCTCTTTTGCAATTTGGAAATTGAAAAATTGAGTGAAACTTGGCAGTGTCTTTAAACATCTATAGGCTTTTTTTTTTTTTTCTTAGCAAGGCACACCCAGCTTAAGTCAGTATGATTTGGGTACTGCTGGTGTCTTAGAGAAGCAGAGCTCCCAAGGGTGCAGCCACCTGTCTCTAGTCTCAGGTCTAAGCTCCAAAATCTGCCTATGCAATGAAGAAGGAGGCTATTAAGAATTATTAGGGAAAACACATCTTCTGTGCAGTCGTCTCTTTTTATAGTTTAGGCCTCGTCTGAAACACTTCTTGAGTTATTGCTCCACTCAGAACTGCCAGTACTGTACTTCTATTGCTTGTATTACCCTAAGGTCTCTCTCCATGAAGACAGATGAAGACTGGGCATCTGTCCTTTTCTCAGATGAACTGCTTTGAAAAAGAAAGCAGAATGGATTTCTCCAGGATTTGCAGCTTAGGGCAGGATGGCCTAGAAGGATGGAAATGAAAGAAGGGAACCAGTCTCTGAATTCCCGCTCCTCTCCACAAGCAATGAGCAGGAGCAGGAGATGGCATGAAGAACAAAAGGGGACACCCAACCACTCCAAGACCCTGCTAATTATACAAGGGCCAATCACATAATATGGTGTGTGTTGGAAAAAAAAATTACAGTCAAGACATAAAGTCATCCATCTCCTTCATACCTCCCCCACTTCTTGCCACTTTTGAGGCAGTTCTGGGCATCCTCTTTTGTGAGAGTCTTTATGGGACAGAATAAGAAATACAGCGAATGCTGTTGTTGCATGAAATGCAATGGAAAGGCAGCTCACCTACCTTATTCCTTAGATCTGACACCATGCAACTTCTGGCTCCTTCCTAAAGTTAAAATGCCCATGAAACGTAAATGTTTCTCATCGATTCAGGACATCAAGGGAGCCACAACAGTGCAACTAAAGACACGCATGAAAGAGGATTTCCAGAACTGTTTCAGAAAGTGGCAATAATGGTGGAAGAAAGGTGTTTGAATTGACAAGGAGTATTTTAAGAGGAATTAATAGCAGTGTGTCTTTACTATAATAAAAATTTTTTTTAAGTTCAAACACTCACCATGTTTTTAGATTACACCTTATACTTTCAGTGGGACATGAAATCATACAGCTCCTGTAAAAGAGGGAAGGAACTCATAGGAAAGGGCTAGACATAGGCTCCAGGGAAAACTGTTATAGATGTATTTCTTCCCAGGTTCAGCCATGGGACAGAGCTCAGAAAGGGTTGGATTCTGCTGGCAACAGAGCTGAATGACTCTGCCCTGTCCTTACTCAGTCTCTTCCTAATAATGTGACTTTGGGCAAGTCCTTTAGTAACTCTGGAGCTACACTGTCTCATATGCAAAGTGGAAATAAAACTTTGCTTGCCAGGAGGCAGGGCCAGATCTTTTTGCAGTTCCTTCCAACACTAGGATTTTCTGAACAGTAGACACAAGCACTCAGTGTAAGTCATACTGCACTAGCCAAAAATGGAACAGGGGATATTGTCGTTTGAAGGGAGATAGCCATTGACAAATTGATTTATTAGAGCTCTGTTTAGTCACTTGGTGGGAAAGATAATCATTTCTTAGCCTAAGTTAAAACCTGAGCCTTCCAGAGAATACTATCCATTTATATATGCTCTGAGGAGAGTGTTCATACATACAAATGAAGGCCAGGCCCTTGCTGGGGAGATAGACTCCATGAAAGTTCACATGTTTATGACGATATAAGTATGTTAGAGCCTGTTATCAGCCCTTAAATGACATCAAGACTACAAAATATGTCAGAATTGACAGCCTTGTTATTGCTCCAGCTCTGTACCTATCTACCAATGGCAGGGGAGGGTAATTTTGGGAAATCAGAGGCAAGGCTGCTAATTTCCTCATTTTATTAATCAGTTATGCACCAAAGAATTCTAAATCTAACTAAACTTTCCTCAAACTCACATGTTTTGTTCATATAATACCATCATATAAATGAGCCTGTGAATTATATTTATGGGTGATACTTGTTCCAAATGTATGTCAGTCTTCAGAAGTTTGAGATTCTCATCCAGATACTCCAGGTCAGTGGTGGTGAACCTATGGCGTACTAGTCATTGTGTTTTCCTTCAGGACAAAAGATGTTAATGTAGAGTTATTTTTTCTAAACTAAAACCTCAGTATTAGGGTTTAATTGCAGTGTTGGCACTTTGTGATAAATAGGTGGGTTTTGGGTTGCAGTTTGGCACTCAGTCTCTAAAAGGTTCGCCATAACTGGTCTAGGGTTTGGTGAAGAAAGCTGTGTTCTCATGTATTCCTATGCATTATCTTTTGACTCCAGTGTGGTTTGATCTCTGACTTTTCTGCATTGCAGAATAATGAGTCCAAAACCTGACAGTCAACCTCATATGGTAACCCTGCCCATGACTCTTTAAACTATAGTGCTATAACCGAAGGCTGTATTATGTAGCAGAGGGTCCACGGGCTCTAAGTTCTCTAAGTTAGAATTGTGATTCTACTCTACTGCTGACTTATCATATGGTTTGGGAAACTTTTTATTAACCTGTGAGGTAATTTCTTCATCAGTAAAGTGTGGTTAGTATCTCTCTTGCTGGGCAGTTATGGTGATTCGAGATACTGCATGCAGTGCACTTGGTACGTAATCTTTGCTCAATAAATAAGGACTTTAACAATAATATTGATGAATTAACAATATATTCAGAAGACACTGTCAAAGTGATCAGGTTGCTTGGATCTCTGTGTGACTCTAATTAATGAACATGCCAATTGTCTGGTTACTATGAAGACCCATCACCTAAACTCACGAGATATTAGGGTCAGAGAGGATCTTTGAATATACTGTAGAGTAGTGTTTTTCAAATGTTCATATGTTCATCAGTTACCCAGTTGCTAAAGTAGATTATGATTCCAAAGCTCTAGGTAGGATTTAAGATTCTGCATTTCTAATAGCTTCCTGTTGCTGCAGGTCTCAACTCATAGAGTCAAAAGGCTATAAAGCCTTTGACCAAACCATGGGATGCAGGAAAACAAAGTGGCTTTTTAAATGACTGCTTAATTGAATTATGAGTGCTTGCTTCCTAATTTCAGCTTTCAACCCCAACTAACAAGAATTCAGCTTTTACCGAGGCCCTGCTCATTGCAACACCAGTCTGGGAACTGAAATTGAAACCTTTAGGGTCCTTGAACAGAAGCTATGAGATACTTTGAACAATCCTGCTTTCTAATCCCTCCTTCTTTGTGAAACTTTATCTTTCTACCATGCCTGGCAGTATTGTAACTTTTGTCTTTACCCTTGGTCCTCTAAATATAATCAAGAAATGGGCTGGCCTTTGTTCTATCAATAATATTCGGTCCACAAATTTGCTTGTTTGTTTTAATGCTCTACTTCTTCTAACTTGTCCTTTGGAGCATGGTAGAATGGAAAGCATGAACTCTGGGATCTCAGAAACAGATTTGAATCCATCACTTACTAGTTGTGTAACTCTGAACAGGCCACAAAATTTGCCTGAGTCCAGATTTTTTGTGGGAATGGTAGAAGTAATAATGTTTATCTGCTAGAGAGTGATACGTACTAAACAAAAATATGAAAAACATGTGCCTTCAGCATAATGTCTTCCCATAGAAAGTGTTCAGTGATTTGGCAAACATGTATTAAATATTTACTATGTGCTAAGTACATTACTAGGTACAAAGGATACATAAATGAATACAACAAGTGGTATTTCATCTCTCAAAGATCTTACTCTCAGGAGAAAGGACCTAGGTATACATACAAATCTACACACACAAGAGAAGGGGATGGTTAAGGCAGATTCAGGAAAAGAGGAATGAGAGCTCTCTGCAGGTGTGTGACACTCCTGAAGTGGAAAGTGACCTTCATTGAGTAGCAGTGATGGGATGGAGTGGGACGGGCACATATGTGAATTACATCCACGTTACAACAGCATTTGACATTTGCAAGGTGCATTGTTGACATCTTTGTGATCTAGAAGCATCCTCACTTTTGTGACTCTCACTACAGTGCTTCACGAAAACTGTGGCCTGTAAGACTTTAGGGTACAATAACAAAAATCTCATGGAGAAATGAGTTCTTCCTGCATGCTAATTTTACTCATTAAACAAGTGACTGGCTGCTATACTCCAGGCTCACAGCACGCCTCTGCAAAATAACTGATTATTGCAGCTCGTGGACCTTTGGGGTCTCTGGGAATAAATGAAGCCACAGATGTCAAATATGCAAATACTAAAATCTACTGTAATTAAATAGCATGGGCTCCTTCAAAGCAGA